GGGGCTGGGTGGCTCACGGCGCAAAGCCCCTGTCAGCGGTGCCTGTCTGTCTGCCTGCCTGTCTCTCAGGAAATAAATAAACAAAAAATCAAAGCTCAGTGATCATTATAAAATAAGAGTATCTGTTCTTTTAAAGAGCAGAATTAATGCATTACATTACTAAGTGTCTACTGTTGAAAACGTAAGAATTAATGTCAGTAAGAAGGAGGGAGGGAAGGAGAGAAGGAGGGAAGGAGAGAGGGAGAGAGGGAAGGAGGGAGGGAGGGAGGGAAGGAAGGAGGGAGGGCAAAGACAGAAAAGGAAAGGGAAGGGCAGAGGAAAGAAGGCAGTCCTTGGTCGACACACAACGGGGGTGCTGGGAGTTAGCTCAGGGCTGAGGACCTAAACCACAAGTGAAAGTCACAGAGGAATGGCCAACTGCACTAATTCAGTGGCTACCAATTGTGGCCAGGACCTTAAAAAGTCTTCTGGTCCCTCCTCTGCCATTAGATGCCATCACCCACCACCTTTAAACCCCCCACAGAGAAAACAGGCCCTTAACCAGAGAGATTCTGCCAGCTCTCGACCGTCCTCACTGCTCACTCTGCCTGCTCCCTTCCTTCGACCCCCTTGATCCCCTTGTGAAGCCCACGCCCATGCCCACCCCTCTGCTTCTAACTTAACTGCTCAGGGCCCCCACTCCGCGATCCTCAGCAGAGGATGAGGCCTACGTCCCTCCAAGGGTAGGTACCTGCTGTGCTGAGATGCGTCCAGGGCCAAAAAGTGAAGAGCCGGAAATGCCCGGGGCAGAGAATTAAAATGAGGGGCCAAACTGGCAGAAAACCGGCACCACGGGGTGTAAAACAGAACCAGAGTACAGTCACTGCCATTTGGGTTTAGAAAATCCATGAGGTCCTGTGATAAGGAAACACGCGTTAAAACCAGCAGTAAGGGGCCAGCGGGTGGTGTGGTAGTTGAGGCTGGATTCCCACATGGCCAACCATGGTTCAATGGTTCAAATCCCAAACTTGGCAGAATGTGTGTGTGTATACACACACACACACACACACTAAAAATATTTATATATTTAAAGTGTATATATATATGTATATGTATGTGTGTGTGTGTGTGTGTGTGTATATACACACTTTCCTCTAAGAGGCCTTCCTACTGTCTCTACAGAGCTATTTTAATATTTTCCATAAATCATCAATTCAAATACTAAGTCCTCATAGGGTATAGGTCTTTGTCCCTGCCTTTTGAACCACATAGCTCACACATCTAAAAGGGCGTTATAAGAGCCCTGTGATCTCAGGCTTAATGACCATGTCCAGGGAGCGAAGTCTGTGCTAAGCTGTCGGATCAATATAATTCCACCAAAGGTTAGTTCCGCTAAGAGTGCACCATCCCAGCCACCACCTGTTTCAGCTGTAACTCAGCCTCTGGGACTGTGCTGTCTCGGCAGTGTGTGAGACACTCATGGAACAGTCCCGCGGAGCTGAGGTGTGGAGTCTCGGGTCCTCGGGAGGGGACGTGAGGCCCGCAGTGATGCTGCCCCCGGAGCTGCTACATGCACTAAATGTACCGGACCTTGCAGGTAGCACGCAACCACCGCGTTCAGAGCTAGGGTTGCTTCTCTTACACAAGCAGCCCGAATTTGCCCTGCTCCTCTGGGTTCTCAGCCATCCTACAGAAACTGTCAATAGTAATTCTAGTACTTACTCTGGAATTTTCCTAGGTATCTGAAAAGGGATGGCTGGGTTTAAGACAATGATCTCAGCTCTCACTCCAGAATAAGCAGTGGATCCACCGTTCTTTGGAGGAAAGAGAACCTTTCCTCAATATAACATATTTTCCAAGGGTATTATGAATCTAAATAATACTATTGAATAGATTGTCATGTTAGTAGTTCAGAAATTTGTCAGTTCCCTCTGTAACAAATACTCCATTTGGTAGAAGAAAAATGCTATGCTCTAATGCCAAGGTCCAGTATATCTGTCCATTAGGAGTGTTACCATGAGGTGGGGGAGAGATGACCCCAAGAATAACTAGCTTTAGGTCATCTAGAAGATGGGCTAGCAGGTGGCGTGGAGGTTAAGGCACTGGATCCTACATGGCCAATTCCACAGTTCGAGTCCCAGAACAGAGGCCTAGAAAACACACAGGGTGGGACCAGCAGTTGGTGTAATGGCTATGTTGCTGACTCCCATGTAGTCAACCATGGTTCAAGTCCCGGACTCCGTGACTTAAACTCACTCCGGGCGCATGTGCGTGCGTGCCCAAAATCCTGAAAGAAGAATGGAGGAGAAGGGATTGTGGCATGGCCATCCCCCCCAAGGGGTGATTTCTCACTTTCTATCTCTCTGTCTCTGTCTTTCTGGCGAGTGCACATGCCCTATAGCAAAAATCTCTCAAAAACAAAACAAAACAAAGCAAAACACACACACACAGGGCACATATGCATGTGTGCCCATATGCCCAAGAGAAAGGATTGCAGTGTGGCCATTCCCCTTGGGAGGGGAAGGTGATTTCTCACTTTTCTTTCTGTCTCTCACTAGAGAGTACATGCACACACCTTATGGCAAAAATCTTTAAACTAACAAAAGCATAAAAGACACTAGGTATGTCTCCTCCTTCCCTATTAACATCACAGAGATCAGTCAGTTGTCACTGAAGTAACAGTAGATGCTATCCCACTGAACACACGATGGAGAGTATGAGCCTCCATTTGAAAGGTGAGAGAGTATTAAGCCACAGAAATTTTGTGCTGAAAAGGAGAAAACCACTAAATAATTTTTTCTTACTTGTGACATATTTAGAATTTTCAGTGTGAAATTTTCCAGTCCTGTCACATTTCTCTCCTCACAGCTGACCTTGGGGGACTTCAGGCTTTCGGTGCTATTGGAGTCCTCTGTTGGTGCCGGGTCGGTTTCTGCCACTTCTGGCTCCGTGTAATACTCCTCTTCCTTATCAGGGAAGCTGGTGCCAGCACTGTCCAGAGAGAAGAGGCTTTCTCGGAGGTGGCACCTCGAGTCCTCCTCTCCGCCAGCGCCACAGGTGCCGGTGCTCGGTTCCGGGCTCAGTTTGTTCTCGGCTTCCCCGGGAATCACAGACAACATCACCACGTGACCGCCAGGGCCGTCCAGCCCCAGCACTGCGTCAGCCTCTTCTGCTGCCCTGTCCTGGCCCACGGGGTTACTCGGGGGCTCCTCCTCACTCAGGTACACAGCCCCCACCTGGAGAGGATGGCGAGCAGGCTGCTCCTCGGACCACGAGTGACCATTTTCCTCTGCAACTGAAACAAGCCAGCATGTTCACGTCGTATTTGACTTGACAAAAAGTACCCCCAAGAATTAACAGTTCTCCCCAAAGATGAAACGCTCCCCTATGGAAAAAAGAGTCTTTCCGTTAAACTACCAGAGAGCTACCCACCGTTCTCCAGGTCAGGAAGAAGGTCACAAGTGGGTATTAGAGTAAGGCATGCCAAATAACTAAATGATCAAATGCATAGCTTCACACAAAACTTGCTGCTTGCCATGCAGATTATAAATAAAACCATCCCGTATAGAGAGCCACTCAGGAACATAGGATATAACACCTTGATTTTTTTTTTTTTAAAGAATTATTTTAGGGACCAGCAGACGGCACAATGATTACATCACTGGACTCCCACATAGTCAACCACAGTTCGAGTCCCAGACCTGGCAGCTTCAACTCACGCTGGGCGCATGCGCCTTATAGCAAAACATCTCTCTTAAAAAATTATTTTATTGGGACCACTTGCTCTCTCTCTCTCTCACTCTTACCCTCTGTCTCTCTCTGGTCAAATTAAAAAATAAATGAATAAATAAATAAAATAAAGTAAATAATTATTAAAAAAGAAAGTGGGGAGATACACATCCATGACAGGGTCTCAGCCCTGCTGCCAGCCAGGATCATGGGCACACCTGGTGTGTTGCAGCAGATCCAAAACCTGAACTCAGAACCTTTCACGTGGTCTCCAGCATCACACGGCAGTGGCCCTGCTGCCTGCACCACCATAGCCAGACCATTTGGTTCTTAAATGTAAGAATGAAATCCCAAACACTGAACACTTTGGTTACATGACAGAATATAAATCTAGGGATACAGTATTTGTGAATGAAATTTTTTTTAGAATTATTTTATTTAACTTTATTTAATTTTTTGACCAGAGAGGGACAGAATGAGAGAGAGAGAGAGAGAGAGAAGTAAAGTGAGAAAGCAAGCCACCAGGTCCAGGAGTCGAACCACAGTTGGCCATGTGAGGGTACAGTGATGTTAACCACCACGTCACCTGCTGGCCCCCATGAATGATCTTTTAAATAAAAGAAAACCTTATAATTTTTTTAAGTGCTCAAAACCATTGGGGGGGGGTGGTTTAAAGCAATTAGAGGGACCAGCAGTTAGCGTAATGGCTATGTTGCTGGACTCTCATGTAGTCGACCGCAGTTCCCAGTTCCCAGATCCGGTGGCTTAAACTCACGCCGGACATGTGTGCATGCGTGCCCAAAATCCCGAGAGGAGAATGGAGAAGAAGAGATTGCAGCATGGCCATCCCCCCTGGGGGTGATTTCTCGCTTTTGATCTCTGTCTCTCTCTGTCCTTCTGGCAAGCGCACGCGCCCTTATAGCAAAAACCTCTCCAAAAAAAAGAAAAAGAAACAATGAAAGCAAGAGTGGCATCCTGAAAGCCCTAAAAGCAAACAACTATAAACCTAGGATTCTGCATCCTGCAAACATAGCTTTCAAAACAAAGGTGAGGGGTTGGCAGGTAGTGCGGTGGTTAAAGGAGCTGGACTCCACATGGCTGACTGTGGTTCAACTCCCTAACCTGGTGGCTTGCTTTCTCAATTTTCCTCTCTCTCTTTCTCTCGTCTCTCTGATCAAACTGGGAAATAATAATAATAATAATAAATAAAGTTAAATAAAATAATTCTAAATAAAAAGGTGAAATAAATACTTCAGATGTACCAAAGCTGAAAGAATTCATCACCAGCAGCAGACCTATGTGACAAAAATCTTAAACTCATTCAGGCAGAAGAAAAAATACCACATGGTTGCGGCCAGCAGGTGGCGTGGTGGGTAAGAGTGCTGGACACCCACATGGCCAACAGCAGTTTGAGTCCCAGACCTGGCGCTTGCTTTCTCACTTTCTCTCTCTCACATTCTGTCTCTCTTGGTCAAATTAAAATAAATTAAGTTAAATAAAATAATTATTTTTTAAAAAAAGAAAAATACCACATGAAAATACATACCCACATAAAGTAATAAAGAGTACCAGAAATACTTTATTACTATATGGATAAATATATGTGCTTCTTTCCAGAAGTCTAGTTATAAAGGGGACAAGGAAGACCAGGTAGTTGTCAGGTGGGCAAGGGGCGAAGGAAGGTTTTTACGACACAGGAGCAATTTGAAAATAAATAAAGCTGACCAGAACAGAGGTAAGCAGAAGAGGTGACCATGTAAGTTGGACTGCCCAGAGTTCAAGGCTTGAGCATGAAGGTGAGTCTTTGGCAGAATCAGTTTGAGCACCCTGTGACTACAAGTCAGAGAAGGGGCTGCATGCCGGGGCAGGAAGCTCTGCTGTTCAACGGAGGCAGGATTATACTGGGGCTCCTTCTATAACCTTTGGTTGATGAGTACTGCTTATAAAACATGATTTGTTGGAGACCAGCAGGTGGCGTGGTGGTTAAGGCTCTGGAAACTCACACATGGCCGATTGCAGTTCAAGTCCCGAATCTGGTGGCTTACTTTCTCACTTTCCCTCCCTCTCTCTCTCTCTGGTCAAATTAAAATAAGTAAATGAATAAGTAAAATTAAATAAATAATTCTTTAAAAGAAAACCAAACATTATTTGTTGTGTCACCCACAAAACAGCAGAAAATAAAGCCAGAAAGACTAAGTCCTGGGAAAAAAGAAAGGTGTCAGGTTTGGGGACGAACCTGATCCCGAACACACCCCCCAAAGCTCTGTCCTCATTACACCCAATAAACAGCCTAACTCCCGTAAGTAAATGGAGAATACCAAAACACTGAAAGAATCTCAAGAGGAAAAACTAAGGGTGCAAATTAGAATCTGGTTCTGTCTGATTACCCATGCAGAAAATCAAAAAGGAATCTTCGTAATGCACAGAGCTGGCACTTTAAATTCAGAGTTCTATTTTTTTTCCCTCTAAAGATATTAAAGTGCACAGTACAGATTAGGAACAAAACCATTCTTAAGCCTTCAGATATCCATGTTTTCATTTAGGTGTTAGGACTGAAAGAAACACTGGGTTATTTCACACTAAGATGAAAATGGCATGCTGTCTGAGAGCCACTGAACCCTCCCACAGTAAGGTGTATTTTTAGGAGATTGCTTCTTTTTTTTTTTTGGATAGGGCATGTGCCCTCCCCAGGAAGACAGAAAGAGACAGAAAGCGAGAAATCACCCCCCCCCGGGGAGGGAATTGCCACAGCACAATCCCCTCTCCTCCATTCTCCTCTCGGGATCGTGGGCACACACGCACACTCACCCCGTGTGAGTTTAGGCCACTGGGTCCAGCAACATAGCCATCACACCAACTGCTGGTCTCCACTTCTTTTTTTCTTTTTATTAAAGAGAATTTTTTTGCTATAGGGTATGTGCGCTCATGGGAGAGACAGAGACATAGAGAAGTGAGAAATCAACCCTAGGGGTGATGGCCAAGCTGCAATTCCTTCTCCATTCTCCTCTCAAGATCTTTTTTTTTTTTTTTTTTTTTTTTACTCACACTGGGCGCATGTGCGTATGTGCCCAAGATCCCGAGAGGAGAATGGAGGAGAAGGGATTGCGGCGTGGCCATACCCCTGGGGAATGATTTCTTGCTTTCTGTCTCTGTCTTTCTTTGGCAAGAGAATGTGTCCTATAGCAAAAACTTCTAAAAAAAAAATCATTACTTTATTTAATTTTATTTATTTATTTATTTATTTTTGTTTTAATTTGACCAGAAAGGAACAGAATGAGAGAGAGAAAGAGGGAAAGTGAGAAAGCAAGCCATCAGGTCTGGGATTCAAACCATGATCAACCATGTGAGAATCTAGCGCCCTTAACCACCACACCAGCCTCATCCTCTCAGGATCTTAGGCATGCATATACACGCACCCAGTATGAGTTTTAAGCCACTGGGTCCAAGACTTGAACTGTGCTAAACTCTGTAGGAGTCCGGCGATGTAACCGTTATCCCATCTGCTGGTCCCAGGAGATTGCTTCTTAACCTAACAAGCTGATTGTAGTTCGGGCCACGCATAAAGTGAACATCATTACACCACTGGCACCGGGGAAGTCTGCGCCAGGGAGCCCCGGCCTAGGTCAGCACCTTCACACCCCTCCAGCCTCTCTCTGAAGGCTCCCACAGCTTCAGGGTTTGTCCTAACGGCTCCTGTGGCAGTGAAGCCGAGCGGCGAAGGACCAGAACAGCCAGGGTGAAGGGCAACCACCCTTACTTTCAGTTCACTGAACAAATGGAGAAAATATCACGCAAACGCAGAAGGCTACAGAGCTACTTGAAGATGAATGAGAAAAGATGTGTATGGTCCCTGGTACACGCTAAGCACTCCAAAGTGACGATGCTGACGATGACAACAGCGATGACGACTGTAATCTGAATGTTACAGGCAAATCTGCCCATGGTCCCCTTATGCTAGAACCCTTTCTTTGATGGCTTCCCCCTGCCCTGGGAATGTTCTGTTCTGTGGCATGACTACTAGGCCTGTCTACACTCTCGCCTGGTACCACTGACATCTCTGGTTCCTGCTCTGTCAAGCCCTCTCCCTCTCCCACCTGCCTCAGAACTTCCTGGGGCTACTCTTTTTTTTCTTTTTTAGGAGAGGTTTTTGCTATAGAGCGTGTGCGCTCGCCAGAAAGACAGAAAGAGACAGAGAGACAGAAAGCAAGAAATCACCCCCCGGGGGGGACGGCCACGCCGCAATCCTTTCTCCTCCTTTCTTGGGATCTTGGGCATGCACGCACACACGTGCCCGGCATTAAGTTTAAGGCTCCAAGTTCGGGACTCGAACCGCGGTCAACTACATGGGAGTTCAGCGACATAGCCATTACACTAACTGCTGGTCCCAGGGGCTACTCTTTTTCTGGGAAAGCCCTCTGTGCCCTCTCTTCTCCTAGCGAATCCGACTCGCCCTTCACTGCTGTAAGGACACTTTCCCTGACCCTCAGACCAGGGTAAGAAGGCACCCATCACAGAACTCAGCAGTCCTCTGGGACTCCCCTTGATACACTTTTCACCCTTAGATTC